AAAAAAAGTCCAGAATCCTGAAAAGTAACTCTCAAATTTCCCTCCTGCGTTTCTGCCAAGGGCTGAGGAAAGACCAGAGGGAGCTGCTGAGGGCGGAGGCGCGGGGAGACCGCACAGGTCACAAAAATACCGGTCCTGCAGCCTCAGGAAGCCACGGGCGCTGCCGAACTTGGATGGCACCAAGATTTACTGATGCAGGAAAGTTCAGGAAGGACACGAGCCCCTGCTTCCTCGTGCTGCTTCTGCACTGTCTGAGCCTTTTCTCAGTAAGACACAGGAACATCATTTTATACATTTTACATCAGCTTCGTTTATTTCAAGAAACAGACAAGGCCATGCTAAGCTGCTGAAGGGGAGGAGGCAGAGCTCTCAGGCTCCGGAGCCTTAACACAGTGTCGTCCCCCGCACACAAAACCCAGATCAGGGCCCAGACCCCGCTCCATGACAGCCAGCTCGGAAGAGGCAAGTCCGTCCACAAGAAGTATATGTGCCAACTGCCCAAACCGCCGGGCCACCTGCTTATGGCCCGTGTGGAGCTGAGAACGTGGCCAGAACCCTGTGGCTAACTCTCACCAGCCCCTGTGGCAAGGAGTTTGGGGGAGGAGGGCAGGGAGCAGAGAGCCACACATTCCTAAACACTCAGGGTTGTTTTCTTCCTCCCTACAGGATCCCACGAAGCCGCAGAGGCAGACTGGGATGGTCGCTAAACCCTTCTAAAACGTGAACCTTTCATCTCTCAAAGTAACCCATGCCCGACACTGTCCCGCTGGAGGAAGGGCGCAGCAAGGAGAAGCCAAGGCTAGGACGGACCACTGAAAGCACTGCATCTACGTGCAAACGTGCCTTCCTGTTCTACCAGACACCTGACCGAGGTCTGTGTCCACGCCAGGGCAAGCCCACGAGCCTGGGAAACCTCGGAGCCACTCGTCCCTTGGGGGGACGGACACCCCTAGGAGGCAGTCCTTGCTGCCCCGCTGGCTGGCCGGCTGTGTGGCCAGGGCCGGGCTCCAGGGGTGGGGCTCCAGCTGCAAGGCTTCTTTGGCTGAGACAGGGGCCACCGGAGGGCAGCAGCGCCAGGTTCTCTGCACAGCGGACAGGATGAGGGCAGGGGGGCTGGCGGCCCCACCCAGAAGCTGTGCTGAGATCCTATGTTCCTGGGGGGGGGGGGTTTACAGGAGCTGGTGAAAGCTAGAACGCCTCTGCTTTCCACCGTAACAGGCTTCGAGAAATATCTGCTGAGTGGATTCCTAAGGACGTAAGAACTGAAAACTCGACAGGCCCCCTCACGGCCTCAGTGCTCCAAGGCAGCCAGCCTCCCTCTGCCCCGGGCTAGTGGTCCAGCAAGGGCAGTCTGGGCCCTGGTCTCCTCCCTCTACAGCAGCGAGACGAACCCCAGCCCGCAGACGTACCTGGCCGACGAAGAGGCAACTCCAGCGTGTGAACTGCGCCCAGACCACACTCACGGCCACCAAGGGCTATGACCACCCACATTTACAATCGACTTATTCTATTGGTCCTGCCAGGCATACGAATGATGAGGTGACGGGCCCATCAGAAGCTGTATTTGCAGTCTCGCTTAAAATGCTGCCATGTGACACGCCATGTTACTGGTGATGGGTGGGGGGACAGTCGAAGACACAGGCAATGTCCGTGTCCTCAGGGCAGCTGAAAGGGGGCACACGCTGCGGCCGGTGTGGCTGGGGGCCCGGCGGCAGGCCACACCGCACTGCACAGAGCACGCCGAGGCTTCAGTGGCGTGCTGCCGGGCAGGTCACCCAAGCCCACCAGGCAGAGCTCCCTTCGAATGGCCAGCTCGAGGCCGACCAACGGCAGGGATGGATTTATTTCACGCCAGTCAGCGCTGGCCGCAAGCGGACATGGAGAGATTAGCTAATACTATTAAATATGCTCACCACTCAGCAGCAACCACCATTTCTTAAGCCCACAGCCCTTTCATGTACGTTATCCCTACTATTTACTGTTGTCCCCATCGCAGAGGTGAGGAAACTGAAGCTCAGAGGGACTAGAGATTTACCACCAGCATCTGGATGGTGGTAGCCGGGGACCACCACTCCCAGGCTCTCTCTATCACAGCCTCGGGACAGGCCCCGGGGGCCCAGCATGCCAAGTGGCCTTCCATCAGATACTGACAACCTGATATTGTCCTCGAAGGCCAGAAGCGGCTAGAGCAAGAGCCGGGCGGGCTCACCTGGAGCACCCATCCATCGGAGGTGGGGCCGGAGGGCCCTGGGGAGCACTTTCTACTCTATGGCTGGCTATGGAGGCCCCGGGGACCACATCAGATGACAGATCAAGTGGGAAGAGACAGCGTGCCCTAGTCCATCTGACACAGGGCCCTTTTGGATGAGCTTGGGGCCACCTATGAGGGTCACTCTGTCCAGCATTCTACCCAGGGATCACCCCCACCTTGTCATTATCCATCACCTTTTGTTCCTGGGGACCAGTTCTCCTCCGTGAATGGTCCTCCACTTGGGCATGAGACCACCAACCCCCCCTTTGGTACCAACTTTTTGCCAGGTCCAGGGGATGCATTTTATTTATTTTTTAAAAGATTTTATTTATTCATTTTTAGAGCAGAAGGGAGGGAGAAACAGAGGGAGAGAAACATCAATGTGTGGCTGCCTCACATGCACCCCCTACTGGGGACCTGGCCTGCAACCCAGGCATGTGCTCTGACTGGGAATTGAACCAGCAACCCTTTGCTTCGCAGGCCTGCCTTCAACCCACTAAGCCACACCAGCCAGGGCCAGGGGATGCATTTTAAACTCCCTGGCGCCATTAAACCACACAGCCAGCGCAGACAACACACCCCAGACAGTGTCCCATGCACCTCTCCTCAGATCCAGCACCTCTGTCTCTCTGCATCTGTGCTGAGGGCGGGCAGAGGCATTCAGAAGTGTGCTCTCAGCTCGTTTTGCAAAGCTGAATTCAACTCTGGAAAACAGGGCTCGTCTGGTCTGGAAGGGCATGCAGGTATCACAGGGAAACAGGGCAGTTTGCATGTAAATCACATTGGATATACAAATTCACAAACAGCTCAGTCTGGCACCTGGCACCTAGTGAAGGCAATTAAGAGCACTCCATGAGTCCTGGCCGGGTAGCTCAGCTGACTAGAGCATCATCCTGATACACCAAGGTAATGGGTTCGATCCACAGTCAGGGCACATACAAGCAACCAATGCATGCATAAATAAGTGGACCAACAAATCAATGTTTCCCTCTTTTACTCTCTCCCCCTTCCTCTCTGTCTCTAAAATCAATTAAAAAAACAAAGAGCACTAAACGATCACCATTATCAGTGGCAGTGGGCCCATATATGGCCTGGGCTTTCTGGTGGCGAGCAGGCCTGTGGGCCATCTTAGCCAGACACCAAACCGAGGAAAAGGGCGCTCGCTCACCAACATCTGTAAGTGCAGCGCTTCCAGCTCTATCTCCTCTCAGGTTTGTCTCTTCATGACTTTTCCAGAGAGGGGCTGCCTGCATTCCCATCACCCCGATCGGAGCACAGGCCCTGCAAACATCTTTCTTTTCTAAAGATTGTACTCATGTATGTTTAGAGAGGGGGAAGGGAGGGAGAAAGGGAGGGTTGGGAAACATCGATGCCAGAGAGGGAGAAAGAGAAACATCAATCAGTTGCCTCTCATTCATGCCCCAAGCGGGGGCCAAAGCCACAACCAGGCGCTGAACCAGGGGCCTTTCGCTTTGTGGGACAACCCCCAACCGAGTCACGCCCCGGCCAGGGCTCCCTGCAGATGTCTTTAGAGAGACGTGTATTTTCACACTGGAAATACCTCATCTCTAGGAACACATTCTAAACCTCTACTGCCATCTCCCCGGCTCACCACACCTTCCTTTTCCTGGCACAGCCTTCCGAGTTTAAAGCCTAATGGAGACTTTCCTTTTGATTCTGTCAGAATAAATCAATACTGGCTGCATATTCCTGTCCTTCATGCCTCCCCCCCATTAATGTGGGTTTTCGACCAGAAACAGTTTGTATTAATAAATGTCTCAGCACACCCAGGCCTGAAAATCAGATTCCAACCTCACTCTTCCCTGGAATTCCTTCCACAGTCCAAACTTCCTTGGAAAAAACACTCCAAGCCCAGCCCCTCCTCCCGGCAGCCTCCGAGTTTCAATTAAGAGCGAGGATTTCTCTCCTATACTTCTTGCTCCTTCTGACTTTGCCCCTCAGGGCAAAAGTTGAGTTTGAGAGGCCAAATAGGAACAGAGCAAAATCTAATGGCACCAAGCAGGTTTTAGTTAAACATATTTCCAAGAGAAAGAGCCAGTTATAGGACCAAGTCTTGCTGGAGCTCACTGAAACTCACCCCTCAGTTTTTCCGTGGGAAAAGGGGCCGCCACGCTCACCTCAAAACAAAGCTTACACATCATGCTCACTCAGGAAACATCTTAGGGCTCTGGCTTTCGCCTCCTTATCGTGGAAGCCACCTCTTCCTTCTGGTTATCTGGCTTGGCAATTTCGCTGTCCCCAGACGGCTCACAAATATTGATATGTATACATAATTTCCTGAGCGCAGGCAGGGGGTGGGTATTATTAGCCCCGGGCTACACCGCGGGGAACCGAGCCTCTAAGGGGTTAACTCACCCACGGCCACACACTAAGTGGCAGAGTGGATTAGAACCCACTCGTCCGGCTCACAATTCCTCCTCTTTCCACTTTGGCCGGCCTCGCTTAAGCGCAGCTGCCTTCAGCCCCGGGGGGTCTCCGGATCCGGTGCGGCCCCGCGGAGAAGGACCTCCTCCTCTCGGAATTCTCCCGAACTCCCGGAAAGCCCCCACCCCGACCTCCGGCTCCGGGACACCCCCTCCTATTCTTGCGTCCTCTCCTCTCCAGCCCCCACTACCCTACCGCGACCGGAGGGGAGGCGCCGAGCCCGCAGGTGCCCGCTGGACCTGGGCGCCTCGGGGCAGGGGAAGGGGCGAGGGACCCGGCCCGGCCCGACTCAGCCCACGCCTACCTCGTCCCCGAAGCGCACCACTTTCTGGCCCGTGGGCCCGCGCAGGCCGGGAAAGCGCGCGAGCTCCTCGGGGTCCCCGGGGCCGCGGGGTGCCGGGGCGCTCGGCCCCACCAGGCACCGGTCGATGATCTCGTCCTGCTGCGCGGGCGGCAGCCGCGCCCACTCGGGCCCGTACTTCTCGCGGATCTTCTCCTTGTCCTGCATGATCTTCCTGGCCATGGGGCTCAGCGACGAGAAGTACGTGAAGCGCTTACGCTCCCGGTCGTCCAGAGGCCGGTTCCCGCTCATGACGACCGAGCGCGAGGCTGCGATCGCCGCCGCCATGGACGCCATCCCCGGCTGGCCCGCCGCTCCCTGCCCGCCCCTCCCCGCGCCCCCCGCCCCCGCGGCCCCGAGCGCCGCCCCGCGGCCCTCCCGCCCTCGCTCCGCCCCGACCCCACCCCGACAGGCGTCCCGGGAGCCCCGCCTCCCGCGTCCTCCACCCCGGAGAGTCGGTCCTCCGTGCCACCCACCCACCAGGCCCCCGTCCTCTGTGCGCCCCATCCCCGGAATCCCGCCCTCCGCGACCCCGACCCCAGAGCCTCCCACGCCTCCGCTCCCGGGAACCCCGCCTCCCGTGCCCGCCCACCGCCGGGAGCCCCCCGCTCCCCGCGCCTCCCGCTGCCCCGCCCACCGCCCCCCCGCACCCCGGGAGCCCCGCCCACCGGCTCTCTCGCGGTCTACGCCCCCGCGGCTCAAGCCCGTCGTCGGGATCCGCCCTCGTGGGTTCATCCCTCGGTGCCCCAACCTCTCTAGGCTGCCCTCGGCCAGCTCGGGAGGTGGCTGGCGCGTCCCCAAGTCCGCGCCCGGCGGTCTGACCGGATTGCTGGCGGTGACCGCCATGGCGCCACGTGGTCACTGGTTTGACAAAGGAAACTCTTTCCCCGGCTGACGTGCCCGCAACGCCGGGCCTCTCCGGGCTAGCCGCCCGCCGCCAGTTCTCCCCCTGCCCCTTTCCCGGAGGAGCCGTCCGCGTCCTTTCCCTGAGCCGCCCGGACACACCGGGCCAGCGTCCGAGAGGTGACGGAGGAGGGCTAGGCCGGGGGGTGGGGTGAGGGGGGGTCCGAGGGGACGACCTGGGGAGCCTGGACTCGTCACAGGGGGATGAAAAGAAAATTAGTCCCCGTCCTAAAGGGACAGGAGACAAATGAACCACTCGGCAACCCAAAATTCCGTCGGTGGAGAAGGCGGTGCCGAGGCGCACGGCCGGAACACCTGCAGTGCGTTTTGCCCCCTCTGGTGAAGAGGTCGTCCCCAAGACGCCGCTTGGCCTTTCCTTTCTCTGGGGACACAAATAAAGTGGCAAGGTTTGTTTTGGAATCTCAGACGTCAGAACTCTCAGCAGCTGGACGTTTGCAAAGCAAGCGAAGAGAGGCGGCAAATTTTCACAGGCAGAGAAGAGCGCCATGCCAACAGTGGGGCCAGGCCGGTCCTTGGGAAGTGTGCCCCAGATCACTAAAATTACACCCCCCCCCCCACCCGCTTTACCATCTGGCTGATTTGAACAAGACTGTGACAGGTCTCAGAGGAGATGTAAGCATCCTCTCTTAAAACAAAAAAAACACCTCATGTCAGTTGCTACTTCCCCTTCGGAATAACACTTGGATAATTCTGAACACATCTGAGACATACCTCGAGAAGTTCTGTTTTAAATGTGGAATGGTCTTATCATCTTCTGGCCCAGAGAGTCTAAGAAAGCATTTGTGGAATGTCATGCATGTGAGGAGCTCTATAATAAGAGACATTGCTATCAACACCGTTATCAGCATGTTGGAGGGAAGGAGTGGGAAAAGCCACCAGATAAAAAAAGCCTGGATCGTACGGTATGTGAAGGACTGTGTGCGAAGCCGCAGGGTGAGAAGGGCTTCTGGGCACTGTGGTTCTCAACGGAAGTCGCTGCGTAGGTCCAGTGCACTATCCCGAGTCCTGAGGATTTCCGCCCCCTGTGCTTGCTCAGTAGTGACTGGTATTTGAACGTGCATTCTTGAAATGTAATTAGCATCTTTGAACTTGCTTTGATATTCACACATGAAAGATTGTGCGCTATTGGAAACTTGGTCCCATGTGTTTTTTTCAAAACAGTTGCAAACAACAAATGTTGCTTTTCCAAAAAGCACGACCCGATTGTTTTTTTTTCAGATCAAAGATAATTTATTACCAGAGAAGTCATAATAGTAAATGTGATATGATATAATTCAAGGACATCAGCCAAAGTATGTTCAAGTCCATGATCTGGAAGATAAGGGGTAACTGAAAGAAAATTACTTCCAGATTATGAGAAACCCAGGGCCCTGACAGATAACTTGACTGGAATTGGGGGGAAATGAAAATACATACTGATGCACTCCAGGGAAGAAATAAAAATAGACAAATTCCAAATGTGTAACCAGGTAAAGTAATGGGATGGTCCCAGTGTAAGAGCTGGAAACACTGATGTGAACAGGGCCCCTTTAAAATGCAGCCGGAGCTGCCACCCCAGAGCCACGGCCCCGCACACTCTAGTCCTCAAACCCTCGGAGGTTAAAACAGGACAGAATGGCTTTGGACTGGACCTGGAGCAGCATTTATCCCTAACAACCGTTCGCAAAGGTAACAAGGAAGAAAATATCACGATGACCAGACTGAAAATGAAGAACGTTCTGTAGAATGGTTGCCATCACATTAGCTTATCTGCACCAATAGAAATGCCCTTCTATTAACATAAGTGTTTCCCTTCCGTTTCTCATAAGTTCCCCTGACCTTGGCCTCCTGATTGGAGCACCATTTGGGGGTTCTGCCTGAATCCCTGCTGCCCAAATAGCTATTCTTTGGGGTCTCAAATAAATGCTCGTTACCTCCCTCTTTGGCCTTTTAGTCGTAGGTTCAGTTTCTTCTCAAGCAAGGATTTGGATGGAGTCAGTCTACTTGTCCTTCGGGGGTGTGATGGAGTCAGTGGACGCTGCTCACAACGCGAAGAGACTAGCACGTGGTCCCTGACCCCCGGAAACGTGTCTAAGCCTTGCAGTGGTCCAAAACGCACTCCTGTCCTCATCAACATTTCATCGAGGCACCTGCTGCTTCCCAGTAAGCACTACGGGGAGAGGAGGAAAGGCGAGAGACAGAGAGAACTCGGGGTTATGTTCACGAGATCTGCCGGTGATGGGCGATGGGTGTTCCACGCCAGGTCAGCGCTTCTGGAAGGAAGTGTAGGTTCCTGAAATGCTTTTCTGAGGGATCACGGGGACACCACAGCAGGTGCTTGGGGTGAGGGTGACACAGTCTCCGGTGTCCTCAGCTGTGGGGTTCTCCCTCTGCGAGTGCCGTTTCAGTTCTTCTCAGAAGTGGTCTCGAGTCCCCAGCAGAATGTAAACTCCACGACAGGGAGAATCTTATCCGTCTTGTTCACTGTTGGGAGCAATCACGCCTGGTTCCCAGTAAGGGCTCAATAGCTATTGGATGAATGATGAGTGAATGAATGTTACACAGTCGGCATTATTATCCCATTTTTACGGATAAGTAAACTGGGGCATGAAAAGGAGAAAAACTCACCTGAGATTATCCTCTACCACCCTTCATCGTCTGAGATGGATTTGAGATTCAAACAACCAAGGTCGTTTGTCTTTTGTTAACTCTCTAACATTAATTTATGTGCATAAGGTTAATTACTGGATTATTATTAATAAACTGGGTCTATGGCTGTGTTTATTAAAGCCTCAGGTCACTCACTGGTGAAACACAGCTCTAGTTTTTTCAGTATAATCCCTGAAAACCCAAGATGGTGCCCGACACCTCCATTACCATCGACACCTCAGCTAACAGCTGCTGCCTTAGAATTCCTCTCTGTCGCTCCGCCCCATTTTTTAAAAAACCTACTGAGAGAGAGAGAGAGAGGCAAACAGCAAGGCCATCCCCCAGGGCGGAAGTTTGCCCTGGGGCTCCTCTGCAGACCTGGGGGTGACAGATTCAACAGCTTCTGACAAAAGCCCAGAGGCGATGGAGCAGGGTGCACCTGAAGTGGGGCAGTGTCACCAGGCACCTACTCACCCCCAGGGGGGCCAAGGGGCTCACACAAAGCTCCTGCTAAGTACCTGTCTGAGCCCCGATTTCTCCATCTCTAAGATGGGGATGACTGCGCCAGCCTTCTAAGGTGACAGGTCAAATGAGAGGGAGGTGACACCTGGGAAAGCCCCTCCCTCCGACTTTGTGACTTTGTGACTTTCAGCTGGCTCTGCAGGACAAGTCCCCGAGTCTGTGAATGGCTTCTTAGTTGAAGGTCAGCACAGGGCTCCTCCTCTTTCTGCTGCCCATCCCAAAGTGCCCGCAATACAGCGGAAGGAAGGTCACGTGTCTGCGGAATGAATCTGTCTCCCCAAACAGAGTTTGCGAGCCCGGTCCCCCACGGAGACACCCCTCGAGGTAACGGAGAACCGCAGGGCAGACGCCCCAGCCCTGCCTCTCGGACCCCAGCGGCCACCTCTCTAACACTTTGCCAGCCGATCGCTGAAGCTCATGGCGACATTCCAGGCACTGTGGCAAGTAGACGGCAGCACGGGGAAGGCCGTCTCGTGGTGACATGGCAGGGCAGTGGGCCGGGGGACAGCCTTCCTGACAGGCCTCTCCGCTCGGATGCAGGCAGACTCCCCGAGGACGATGACTCATCCCCACAGCTGTGACTGGTTATTCCAGATGCCGCCCTGCCCGGTCTCTGCCCCTCACTCCCACGCCCAGAGGGGACGGGCAGCGGACCAGAGCAAACCTGGCTTCTGCAGACCGGCCGGCACCCGACGGGATCGGAGGCACGACCGAGGCAAGGAGAAAGGGTGGAAAGACAGGATGACTTCACAGATTTACCGCTGGCAGGACACGTGCTCTGAACATTGTGAGGGGTTGGGTTATGTTTCCAACTGTAGGGAGAACTTGGAGACAAGGACGGTCTGTCACCAAGTGCGGGCAGGTGTGAGCGTAAGCAGCACAGATGACCGGCTTAGCTGCTCTACAAGAAATGCTAAAAGGCCCCTTGAAAACGACGACAAACACCTGCTGGCTGCCCGAGGTTTACATTTAGGGAGGCGTCTGAGGCTTGGCGTCCTCTGTGAAAAACATAAACAACTGTGGCTCATTCTCTTTCCCCTTCACCTGAAATCCCCACCCCGAGATCCCCAAATAGGGAAATACCAAGCTCAAAGGCGCCCCCTCCACGAAGGCTTCAAGGTCACGGGCACCTGAAAGCAGGGAAGGGGGCACAAATGAGACAGTTTGTCCCCTTAGAGTTTGATCTCAGGTAGACTCTGGTGTCCAGGGAAGAGCAAGGCCAGTATGTTTGACAGCATACATGTATCAGGGACTGTG